TTATGTGCTGGGCTAATTTGCTTGTACAGGTTAATGAAAATGCAGATGTATATGGCATAAGGAAGCAGTACCGTAAGCTAGGTAATTAATAAAAAATTATTTAGCATTACAATATGAAATTTTTTCTTGTATTTTATTTAGAGTAAATTGCAGTTTTAATTTTGTATGTTTTACTACCATAATTTTTCTGTCCCTTCGAATTGATTTTGTTTTCAGTCACTGATGTTTGAAAAAAGGTTACGAAAAGGACCCCGAGCATACATAACAGGTGAAACTGTAACATTTTTTTGCAAAACATGAGGGGCTTTTTTTTGTTGCGAAAATGGTCTTTTTGTAGCATTTCTACAAACATAAGAGGCAAAAATCGAAAAAGTAATTCGAAAAGGACGAACGGTAGTGAAATTTATAGGAATAAAATTACAATTTACTCTTTTTATTTATATGTTTTATATTAGCAATTACAATATGAAAGTTTCCAATTTGTATTATTTGATGTTATTTTTGTTCTTTATTTTCATGCAGCTTTGCAATTGCATCCTGATAAGAACAAGCATTCAGATGCTGAAAGTGCATTCAAGCTGGTTTCTGAGGTGTTGTGCCATTTCTTTTGTTGCTTAATTATGGCAATTTTGAAATTAATTAATAGATTTATTAGTGGCTGCTATTTTTTTTTTTATCTTTATATTACTATATAGGTATGGCCAAGGGTCGAACCGACCCAACCTGTAACCCCTTAAGGGCCGGTTTAGGGTTGCGTTTTATTCATTTTTGACCTGCCTGGCCGGTCTCGCGTCGTAGTTAATTTTCTATTTTTTTTAAACCAGCAGTTCGATGAACAGCCGTTTCAACCGGCTCTTAGATATAGCCGGGCTGGTTATGGCCCAACATTTGAGGCCCGCCGACCCGGCGAGAAACGTCTATATTATTATTGGTGATTATTTTAACAATTATTATTTTTTTATATATCTTATATTTATTCTAAACTCAAATAAAATTCACTATTTTATTACTTTAGTATGAATTTTTTTTTCCAACGTAATATATATCTTCACATTTTAGAAATTCGATCATCAATAAATGAACAATATAATATAAAATATCTAATTATAAATCACCATTATTGATTGCATAAAATTTAACAGACAATGTAATTTTTGTAATATTGAGACATCATTAGCTAGAATAATACTATAGTATTATTAATAATAGTAGTTTATTCCATTCACATGCACAAATATAAACTATAAAGTATTATAAATTTTGTGCATCCATAATATTAAAATTATAAAATAGATAATCTGTATATCACATTTTATATTTTATATATTAGTAAATGAATAATATAAATATTATTATTTAACTACACGTGAATCTATATTTTTGAGAGATTATGACCAATTCATTACCTAGAAAAATATTGAAACAACAATATTTATTATTATTATTATAGAATATTTTTATGGAGGTTTTCCATGCTATTAACATAATTATATGATTAAAAAACTAACATTACTTCAGAATAAACAACTTGATAAAAAATGCATTAAAATTAGTTGATTTTAGTAACAACTATTAAGTAATAAAATATGATTATCTTAATTAATGTAAAATTTACTGATTTTACCATTATAAATTGGAAATTTGGGTGGAAAAATGTTGTCTTTTGCATTAATTTGATAGCATCAAATTATATATACATATGATTTCAATCATTATTTTAGTACCGCTTAATGTGAAGTATAATGAATTGATTTTTGTAATTACTAAATAAAATATGTTTATACTTTATTAATGTAAAATGTAACGATTTATCATAATTAATATAAAGATCTTAATGAGGAACCCCACATTAATCATTCAAGAAAACATTCAAAAACCATGCAAATAAGGATAATGAAAAGCAGATATACACTAAAACTTTTCCTTTCTTATTTTCTTTATTTGTTATGGTTTGCACACACCAAAAACAGGCATATTTTTGGCTATCAGACAATGCAAAAAGAGCAGCATTTGATTCAGAGAGGCAAAAAACCATCCCCTGCCCCAAATGCAACAACACCAACCCTGATAATCCCCCACACAATCACACTCGTAAAGAGTTATCGAGGATCGTCCGCTTCCAAAACCGCATGAAAGAGCTTCGTAACAAACTCAAAGACGAGGCCAACATCATCGAGAAGTGTCTTGTTACAGCATCAAGAAGACAGCTCTCAAAAACTGCATACGCCACAAAAACAGAGCTGCCTGTTTTCAACCCGGCCGATTATTATTTCACACCAAACAGGACAACATTCAATCACGAGAGGATGGAGATTTTAAGGGCCGGATTTAGAATGGGAAATACTAATAGATGCATAAACGATAGGGGGGTCGAGGGGTCCCCGGTTTTTCAGTATCGACGGGCAAGAGTGCCGTTTATGTCTGGAAACTGTTGATTCACATTTGCTCCAAGGATAGATTTATTTTTTTTTTTCTTTTGATATTTTGGATTCTAGGATTATAATAAAAGCAGTCCTTGAAGCTTAACTGCAACAGGGGAAAAGGATAGTAACATCCCTCTGCATCTATCGGCACAAATTACCATCTGCAATGACAATTTAAACACTATAAGATGTGGACTAATTATGATGGAACCACAGATGTATTAAAAATCACAACCATCCCTTAAAGTTTTATTTTGTTACAATGAAAGGGGAAAATGTTAAATGGAATCAAACTACAAGAAGATTGTCTTTTTTTTAATGGTTGTTATGTTTTTTTTTTAACCTTGTCTCAAGAGCTTTTTGCAATGATCTCTTTGTTTATATGAATTGGCTTCTCAATGAAGCACATCAAAACTGCATATATGTTGCATTTGTAAGAATATAGAACACTGAGCCATCTACCTTAGCATTTACCCGTCTCTCATTTCATCTACTAACACTTTGTCATCCCCAAACGACATGCAATCAATAACATCCAATTATAAATGCTTCATAAGTTCATCAATTACTAAGGCAAAGTGATACGGACTCCATGCCAAACTTGATGCAAGCCAATAGTGATAGGAAATTCACTCGATATCCCTAATGGTGTCCTAACACAAGTTTTCACATTATTATACACATCTTTTATGATTTCTGTATAACTAACTCACACCCTCGTTTCTAACACTCTTCACATTATACATCTATTAATACTATCATAACATTTTTCAAGGTCCATAAAGACCATATGCAAATTTCGCCTTTTCTCATTAAAATGTTCAGAAAGTCTCCTTATTAGAAGAATAGTTTCCATTCTCGATCTTTCCAGCATAAAGCAAAATTGGTTTCCCATTATGTTTGTTTTTTGTCATAGTCTACTTTCTATTACTCTCTCCCATAATTTTATCATGTGACTCATTAGTTTTACGTCCTTTTAGTTTGCGCAATTTTGACGATCTCCTTTATTTTTAAACAAAGGTAAATGGAAAATTAAAATACAGTCATCTCTAATAAAGGGAGATGAAGAGAAGTTTTATAATTTTGTCTTCGAAGCCAAATACACACCTAGACCAATCTTCTTTCGGAATATTTTTTCTCCCGTCGATACCGCGCGTGTAAGAAAAAGAGGGCTCAGCTTGCATTCTGATACTTATTCCTTTATTCGTTTGGTTGGATTTTCGTCCCGTAGAGTACGAAGGGCGTTCACCGCTGATGTCCGTAGCAATATCTATATTTTTGGCGCTTTGCTTCGTTCGTTGGGTTTCAAAAGCCGAATAGGGAAACAAATCCCGCGGATCTCGTTTGGTTCTAGTCACATACTCGTTTTCACGCATAGGGAGGAAAACGACTATATGATAACATAAGAGAGTCAACCTTCTAAGCTAACGAAATGGAACAAAGATCTTGGATTTAAAATAGAGAGAGTAGGTAAGTGTGAAATGAACCGGTCTTCTTTCCCCTTAGAAGGTCAATTACATCGAACTTCATATGGTTCGAGATCGAAAGGGATTCTAAGTCTATGTATAGAAATGTAAGGATAAATAGGCATTCTCAGGGAATGCTTACTGACTTCATCTCGCTTAATTGACTTTCCCGCGACAGGGAAGGGATCATTGACATCTCATCTTCTCCCACAGCAAGGTGAGCTCCTGGTAGGAATTAAGTACAAATACTATTTGAATGGGAGTGAACTAACTTGGCAAAAAGAAATCACAAACCAGAAAAGTGATGCAAGATCATATCTACTATGCTTATAATTATCAGATTAACTCCACGATGCGAACGGATACTGTACATATGTTGAAATGGCAAAACTAGATAGAGCTTAACGTCCTTTCTTATGCATAGAGCTTCGTGAACAAAAGCTTGTTCGTGTTCGACAAAAGCTCATTTGTTTGTCAATCGAGCCGATTTCTAATAAAAAATTAGACTCGTCTAATAATCGAACGAACACGAGCTCGTTCGATTATGTTTGCAAACATTAATTTAATATTTTTATATATTTACGTACATAATATTATTAATAAAAAAAATCTAAATTTAATATAATTTTATTTATTTTTTATATATTTACATAATGTTTTTAATAAAAGATATAATATATAAAAATAATTTTATTTTATTCGTTCTTTTATTTTTATTTCGAACGAGTCGAGTTAATCGAACATATTTAAAAAGTATATATTAAATTATTGGAACACGAACGGACTCGAACTTTGACGAAACAATTAAACGAACGAGCTCGAACACGAGTTTTTGCTCACGTAAACGAATACGAGCTCGAACAACCCAAATTCGGTTAGGATCGGTTCGTTTACAGCACTCTTATGCGCACACACTATAGATATGCAGCAGCTGCATATCTGTTCTTGACGATGATATAAACTAAATGTGTTGGCTACAGACAGCATAACTCCACACAAACAATAGGCTTCACGTAATCCCCTTTCGGCGCTTTCTACAGGTTTCTTCGCAACTTGACCTTGAGCACTGCCTGAATTGAACTTATGTGTTTTTGGGATGAGGTGCTAACTCTGGTTTATTAGAGTTTGATACTGATTTTCGGTTCGGGGCTGTTTTTCTCTTGTTCAATTCGCTGCTCCGCCATTGATGAATTGTAAGCTCGATTGTCTTGAATGTCTGCGATTTTGAAGCGCAGCCGTATAGAGGTTATGTTGGCCTGCGTCTTCTTGTTGGTGAATTTTGGGGATTTTGCGAGGGCTTTTCTCTTGGGCCAATAGTTTATGTGAGATTAAGTGAGTGGGAAAGGAAACGGGGCTATAGGCGCATAAACTATATTAAGTTGATGTATATTTACAGTTTATTTACACTTTATTTGAGATATGTAGTTTTTTTTATTTATGTTGTTTTTTGATATTTATATTAATATTTTTGTTTCATTTTTATTCACAGCAAGAACTCGTCGTATTTATAGTTTATGTTGTTTCACTATGAAAAATATAATGATTATAAATGCAATATACACTGAAAATATTCAATGAACGGCAAAATAGAAAAACAAAAGAAAAAACTAAACCGAGAAGAATTGATTTTTTATGGAAGCATTTTTTCTTTTCTTTTCTTTTTTTTTTAGAGCACGAATGCAAATCATGGGCAAAAAAGAAGGAGAGGAAGTTAAATTGATATGGTAACTAAATTAGGTATTAATGTAGTTTTTTTTTCACAGAACGATAGAGAATTTTATATAACAAAAGCACAAAGGTGCAAAGATACAACCCGAAGTTGAATAAGACAACCCAAAGCTGAGTAACATAGGAGGACAGGTCTGACGACCGCCTAGAATTCCGACCTAGCAACGCTATGAACCGAAAAGCAGACTCACAAAACAGCAACACAATAAACCACAAAAACTACAACGAAAAGCTCCCCACAGGAGAATAGAGACAGGAGCAAATCCCCACATGATAATAAGTTGCTCCCGCTCGAACTGAGGCCAACGGCCCAAACAAAAAATACAGAACACAAACGCTCAGGCAAAGAGCTCAAACCTAAAGCACAATCCTACCACACAAGAAAGCACAAAAAGACAACTAAAAAAAAAAAACACACTTGCCCTCCCTCTACAGCAACTCCAAACTATACTAGCAGCCACCAAATCAACCCGGGGGAATCCCGCAGCATGAGAAAAACGACCCCTCCACTGCCAAAACCGCATAGCTGAATCGCAACTCAAACTGTGAATCCCACCTAAAGCCAATTCTCCACCACACCAGAAAACACCAAAAAAGCCCCCAACACGGCCAGACCGATCCCCCTAACACCACTAGCGGACTCTGAAGAGCCGTGAACAAACCAGAACCCAAACCCAGAGACTTGGGAAGTATGAGTTCTCTCAATGCCGCAGCCCCAGCCCCACCGCCCCTAATTCACAAAGTCATCTGAGCCACTTAAGAACCCAACCTCCAAACCACAGAGCACCGCCAGTCGCAGGCAAAAAGAAAACCGAGTTAGTAGCGACTAGAAAGGAAACTTACCCTCAATCGAGTGAGCCCGAAATCCAACCAGTCGTCAACCGAATTCTCGCCACCTACAATAACCAATCCGCAGGCGAAAATAAACATCGCAACTCGACGGCCCCTGTACCCCACTCCGATCGGAAAGCGAATTAAACGTCCATCCAAGCCATCGAGATCGGAGAACAGCCCGCCTGAGAGCCCAAGACACTCTGATTAGAGAAGGTGAAGTAGCCAGTGCTGCACCCGACCCTAACCCATGGCACAGCGACCCATGAGCCCTCCACCGCGCCAGAGAAGCCAATAATCGCAAACACTAACTTACCTACCAGAGAACATGAAGTGGATTTGGCTGGCACTTGTGGCGAGCAGAGTCACGACATCTGGGAAGGACCGGGCAACGAGAGGACGACTACCAATAAGGCGGGAAGCCGAGAGGGAGGCGGCGATCAACCAATTTGCAACGAGGGAGAAGGAGATTGGAGAGAGAAATTGGGAATGAGAGAGGAACATGACAAAATTAATTTTATCTTTAAGGTAAATATAGAATTAATTCAATGAGTGTGATATTACTGCAATATTCTCTATATTTTGTAGGAGAGATAAAAGTTTCCTAAGAGGAATTTGCACGCTCCACTTAAACAATCTGAAGATATTACATAATTACATCCCTTGTATAATTATTTACAAATTAACTAAATTTGTTAAATTTAGTTTCATATATGCCTATAAATCTGTTTTTAATATTTGTGGTATTCTTACTAGATAATGAAGAATTAATGAGACTCTATCGGTTACCAAAAATTGATTTTCTATTTACATGGTAACTTCTCATCTACGTCTCTCTCCTCTCCCCCCC